CGGCTCAAAAGAAATTTGGCTGCGATCCTTGCAGGTATTTCGGCAAGAAAGTGATATGATTGCTACACTCTGCCCGTGGATGTTGGGTGGGATGCAATGGACAGCTAGATATGAGCACTAGCGCATTATAGTGAGAGATCTACACACGCATGACGCGGTGCTGGGGACCATGAAAGAGCTGATGTAATGCTTCAAGCATGGAAGCCTCGTCGTCAATAGTACGGGTCCCGTCGGCCAGCATGACGAGCCAAAACGCTAGAAAGGCATCGTAGCCGACTTCTTCCGAGGGGTTTCCGCCGCAGAGAAGCCGCGTCATCTCCGACGCGGTTTTCCGAGCTGTCTCGAGGCCGTACGACGCTTCGCAGAGCTGGTCAATGACGTCGTGGCGGCCGATGAAGCCGTCACGGTCGTGGTCTACCTCGTCGACAATATCCTGCGCCTCTCGCTGTCCAATCGGCGACCACGTCGCGTGGAAGGCGTCGAGAGCCGACGCCATCATGTGCTCCAAGTCGGACGGCACGCCACGCGGTGGCTGGAGCACGACGACGCCACCGAGACGGTTGTAGTAGGTCACAAGAATGCGCGTGTCGGCGCCCGCGTCGATGGAGATCGGGACGCCCGTTGCCGCGTCGCATGTAAACATGTACGCGGTCGTCGGCGTTGTCGCGCGATAGATGCGCGTTGGAGTCGTCGCTTGGAGCTCGGCACTTGCACTCGCGGCGACGATTTCGAGGACATCGAGGGACGCGATCGTGTCGAGAAACTGCTGCACATCCGCAAGTAAGCTCTGTGGGTCGTGACGCGCGAGCTCGGATAAGAAGACGTGCAAAGCCTCGTGGTCGCCGGTCGCATACGTGATCCACTTGGTCGCAACGCCGTGGTGCATGAGCAGGAGTAGGTCGGCGCCAATGGCTTCGAGGTGGTGTCGAAACATGTAGCTGTTCCCAGACGCCACGAGCTGCACGAGCAAGTGCCGCGACGCTTGGCCTTCGATGAGGAGGTGGCAGCGCATGTCCTGAAACGCGCGCGGCAACGACGTTGTCGGAGGGGACTCGTGGGCCTCGAGGAAGAGACGACGCGCTTCGTCTGAGAGCTGTCGCCGTAGCTGCGGTGTCATGTGCGTTGGTGGCATGGCGTCGAGTACTGCGAGCGCCAAGCTGATGGCGCACGAATGCATGGCGCGTCAACGGCCAACGGTGGCGGTTTCAAGGGCAATCATTTTGCATCGTGATTTGAGCGCTGTCGAGAGGCGAACTCTTCCGACGGGGCATCGGTGCAGACAAGCAATCACGTTGGAGAAAAATACTAGCCCATGTCTTCACGCGCTTTGTGGGCTTTGGTTATTTAACGCTGTGACGAAGCGTCGATCCAGTTGCATTTGCCAGATCTGGTGAAGGCACTCCTGACGCACTGTGGTCAAGGACCGACCGAAGCCACCGCTAGAGCATACGAGTGATCGATCGATTTCATGTCGTGGACGCAGGAGGAGAGCGTTGTCTAGGAATTGAGATCCTTGGTCTACCTCGCTCGTACCGGTAGTGCGCGCGTGGAGCCAGCCGACCTTGAAGTTGCCCTCGGCTTGCTTGGTCGGGATGATTCGAAGCCCCGAGAACATGATTCGGGCTTCTGCATCGAGAAAAAGTTGAACATTCGCTTTTTGCGACCATCGAAGAAGGGAGGAATGCTTAGATCTACAGTTTCCTGCGCGTCATTTCGTCGGCCGTATATCTCTCGGCGCATGCGATGGCCTTGCGCTGGTAACGACGGCAAAGCAGGTTGTCTTTCTCACAGTTGGCTTTCGAATCCAAACACCAAATTTCAGGATTCCTTTCGCAACTGTCGCCTAGGACACACTCCCACAGCTGCGAGCTACTCGAAGCCTCTGGGCGAAACCAGACAGATAGATACTTGTACTTGCATCGAATTTCCTCTCGTGGCCCGTTCGAGCCATGGCAGCCGACGAGGTCGAGAAAGCTCGCTTCAATTGAGACAGTGGCGAGAAGCACCTGGGAAACGCGATCTTTGGTGCTTGGATTCGCGCAGTTGAAGTGGTGCTTCTCCGCGGCTTGGGATTGGTGCGGCGGCAACGTTGCGACCGCCGATTGGTGCATGTCGCGATCCGTGGGGATTGCAGTGATGCTCCCACGTAATTTTAAAGTTGATCCGCGTGACCATAGAATAAACAAAACAATAAAATAAAAACGCTCCAAGCAGAGAACCGATACATGCAATCGGGACGAGAATTTCGACCCGCGTGGCGTTCGTCCGTCAGATTGGATTTCACCATGCAGCGCCCAAGCATGCTCATGACACTGACGTACAGCCGCCTCCACGACCACCCGAGCCTCCCGAGCCCGATGAGCGTCATGGAGTGCGTCGCCTCCCCGCGCCTCCTCCCTGCCTTTGACGTCGTCTTTCGGAACCACACAGCATCCTCGCCCCGCGTGAGCTCACCGCGACTGCCACCTCTTCGCGAAACCCTGCTGACGCCAACGCACTCGCCGTACACCAAGCCCGTCAAGCGCAATGACGTAGGCATCAAGCTCTGCTCCGTTCACGGTTGCGCCAAGCGGGCCAAGGCCGGCGGCGTCTGTATTGCCCATGGTGGTGGCATCCGCTGCGCCAAAGACGGGTGCGCAAAGCACGCGGTCAGCATGGGCCACTGCATTAGTCACGGCGGCGGGAAACGCTGCACGGTGCTTGGCTGCCACAACGCGTCGCGCAAGTACGGCGTCTGCTGGAGCCACGGCGGGAAGCGTATGTGCCTCAAGCAAGGGTGCACAAAAGGCCCCAAGACGGGCGGCTACTGCTGGGCCCACGGCGGCAAGGCCAAAAAGTAGAACGCTCGCACTCGTCGTAGTATAGGTATTACATCGTTGTAGGAGACCGGGCGATCGCAGTCCGCTGTCGGTACATAATTTATTCAATATTACTATTAGGCCATCGATTATTCCAGCAGCGGTCCACTCTGAGATCGCAACCTCACTCAGAACTGAGATGCTTCAATGTGGCATATGCCACGACGACCGCGCAAGAATCTGCCCAGCATCAGTTCAGTAACAAAGAACATGACGTGGCAGCACCAGAACCGAGTACGTGGCAGGCGTTAGCTTGCGAGTCGAATGCATGTTTCGCCAAAGGTTTGCCATCGGCTAGTGGAATGAGAGGAATACGTGGTGCCGAATAGAGATGATTCAATTCTTTCATGTATCCCATTTTTGTCTTTTCGTTGTTTGTCGACTTCTCGATTCTCGGTGTCGGGCGCCGAAGTCAAATGTCCAATCTAAGCGTTAGTCGACGCACTCCAACTGTCCAGTGCTTCATCTCTTCATATAAAGGTACTCTCGACCGCACGCTTGCACACATCTCAAAACGACCAACTTGACCCACAAAGTCTTGACAGGTGAATGCAGATACTGAATGCAGATTCAGGTCCATGTCTTTGCGCTGGAAACGGACGCCTATGCATCGCTTGTAGACTAAGAAGCCTTACAATATGTGACGAGCCTACGAACATACAAATGGCTCCAAAGCGCGCACCATCTCGTCGGCACGTCCACTACGAGGTTATTCTCACGTCTTCAGTGACCTTGTCATTGAAGACTTATGAGTATCTACGCTAACGTCAGCCTCGTACTTGTCCGCACCACGTCACACTCAATCTAACTTTGCTGACGACATATTGTCTGTGTTCAACAGTGGGAGCGCTTAAAGATCGTCAACAGGGAATGGACCATAGTCGACAGCGAGCTCGGTTGGCAAAAGGATCTGCTCCGAGACGTGGAGTCCGGTCGCAGCGTTGAAGCTCTCCAGGTCCGGCGCGCTGCTGCGGCAGTAGTACAGCTGGCGCTCGATGTGGTACATGAGCTCGGGCAGGATATAATGGAACGCGACGCTTTCGGACGAGCAGCAGTCGTCTTTCCACTGGAGGCCGCCAATGTCGCGATGGTACTGCACGATCCAGTAGTCGGGTTGGTTGGGGTCCGTGTAGTAGATGCCTAGTCCGATTGGTAACTACAAACATCACTTCTACAACTCTACCGCGGGGCTTGTCGGCGTGCCAGCGCTCGCGGCCATACAAATCCCGAGTGTTGGGCGGATGCGTGTCGTGGAAAACCATGCAAAATGAGATGGCAGCGTCGTCCGGCAGCATCTCGCAGTACTTGTCCGACAGGCACGTCTCGTCGTGCATGGACTCGACGACCTTTTGCACGTAGAGCTTGTTCATGGCGTAGCTACAAAGATGTTAAGGTTAGGAGCGTGCTTCTGTTGCGGTGCGTACCCCGGGCCACCCGAGTTGAAGACCCAGCGGTGCGTGCGCTTCTTGTACTCGTTCAGGAGCTTCTTGTTGACGATGTAGTAGTCGATGAGGTCGCTTGTCAAGCTGTACCGGTGGCCAAACTGCAGCGGCTTGAGATCCATCTCCATGACGACCTGCGGCTGGCGCAAATACGCCAGCAGGTTCTCGTACACCACGTAAGCGTCGTCGTCGGCCTTGTAGAACCAGTCAAAGTCATGCCGATACGTTTTCCAAATGTAGGCGAGCGTCGCCTTGTGCTTCTGCCACAAGTGGTTGTGGTCGGCGGGCACGTCGAGCTCGACAATGTCGTCGTGCGCCGGGTCGGTCGCGTTGCTAAAGAAGAGCAGCTTCGTGCACCGCTGCCCCCACGTGTCCTACGCGTGCACAGATGAGCGCTACGGGCAGAGATCAATCAGCAGCATACGCGAACGGCCTTGACGCGCGAGTCGTGGTGCACCGAGATTGTATTGACGAAGCAGAGCACACGCGGCGCCGCGGCCTCGGGCGCCACTTCCACAAGCCGCAGCATGCGCTGCGAGTAGTCAATGTCCACCGCGCAGAGCTCTTCCTTGGTGAGCGCTAGCGCTAGCGCCATCCATGCTAGCAGCATGCAGCAGGTCCGGTGCATCGCCATCGTCGTGTTGCGACGCTCGTCGGTCTTTGCCGCTGTCACAAGACCGGCTGGCCACGCCAGAGTGAAATAGAACTCAGATGCTTAATCTTGACCAGCATTTAGTATTGAAATGAACGAAGAAAAATATTGCCGAGATTCGCCTGGCAGGAGCGCCGGTGATTGGCTATAACTTTTGAGCTCGATGCTCTGGATTGGGTGCTTGCCTATGCTCGCCTATTGGTCAAAAGTAGTTTGAAACTAGCAGAGAACGTGTGGCCATTGGCTATTCCTAACGTGAAGCACCCACGATTTGTTTAAAACCTTTTTGTTCATACTGTGTTCCGTATCCTGTAAGGCGAACGCGTTCATCGAAATACGCAAGTTCGAGCTTATTTCAAAGCCAACTGAAGCGTACTAGTATGCAACAACGCATAGCCCGGAGCATGCCCAATGCCCGAGCGCCATCAACAAGGCGGTCTGAAACATGGGCATAGAAACAGTTTCCTATAGTTTAAAACACTGCCACTGTGTAACCGATACGACACCTGACACGATGCTGCGGCGATATCATGGCGGCTGGCTCGTGCTGCTCGCAATGGCCTACGCCCGCGCCACGGACGTCTACCAAGAAAACATCTATGGCGTCTCGTCTGGCATATGTAAGTGCAGTCTTCTACTGTGGGTAACCGAGTTCTAGCCTACTACATGCGCCTCACGATCGGCCAGCCAACGTACTGGAATGCAGCACCCAGGGCGTCGGCCAATGTACGCCTCGACGCCGTTACGTCTACACTATCAGCGTCCCCTAGAACACATTCAAGTTGCTCATCGACACGGGCTCGTCCAATTTGGCGGTGGCGTCAGCGAGCTGCTGCAATGGTCTCAACCTGCACCTCTTCAACTGCGCTGCTTCAAGCACCTGCCAGGCGTATGCAAAGAGTGACGCCGTAGCCGTCAGCTACGTCGTCGGCTCCTGGAGGTACGACGGTGCCAGATCGTGGTTTATCCTATATATGCGGTGCTAGAGGCAATTTGGTCCAAGACACGATCTCGTCGAGCAATATTTCGGCGCTGGCCAATATTCCGTTCACTGCGATCTCGTCGCAAAACAACTTTTTTGACGGCGCCTTTGACGGTATCTTGGGCTTGGCCTTTAGCTCGATCGCCGAGGTACTTGTGATCATGAGGACGCGACACCATGCGTGCTGTAGCCCATGAGCACACCGACGGTCTTTGAATCCATGGTCCAGAGCAACATTGTCGCCGACGTGTTTGGTCTCCAGCTCTGCGGTGTTCTGCAGCCGCACGTCCACGGGTATCTGCCGATCGCGACGGCGGGTCAACTCGGTACAGCGTCATCACCAATCGAAAAGTGTCGCAACGGGACTCGATAGTGCTCGGCGGCGTCCAAGCGTCCAATATACAGCTCTACCGCGGTCCTATCTATTACTCGCCGCTCGTTGTTGTTCGTACTGGATTGCATATCCTTCAAAACCAAAAGACGATTGCGTAGAAAAAGTGGTATGTCGTGGTCGTGACTGGCCTTGGTTTTGGGAATCGCGCCCTCAACCTCCCGTGCACCGTGCTTAACACGCCCAAAGTACGAGTCGCGAGGATCTTGTCCATCTCACGATGCGTTGTCGCAGGCCATTGTGGACTCGGGCACGAGCAACCTCGTCTTGCCGACGCAAGCCTATACGGCGCTGGTGGCCGAGATTCGCGCTGCGACGCTCGCTGCGATCCCGTCTTTTCCACTGAGCTACTTTAGCGACAGCGTCGTATGTTGTGAGAGCTACTGCGACCCGTCGGACCTGACTTCCCCGCTGCTGGACTTGCCGCCAATCTCGATTTCGCTGGCGCTCGAGGCAAGTACGAACGAGCACATCACCGTGACTATTCCGCCAACATACTACTGGCGGCCCCTCGCGGCATCCAACGGCTTTGCAACAACCAACTGCCGCATCTTTGGCATCTCGGAAGGCTCGGGCTCGATGCTTGGCAACGTCTTTATGGACGGACTCTACACTGTGCACGACCGAGCGGGCGCCCGCATGGGCTTTGCAGTTGCCGACAACTGCGCCAACAAGGCCAATTCGAGCAAGCTGATCACAGTACAAGGCGACAGCTCGTGGTGCGACTGCCTCGCACCGGCGACGCGCAGCGGAGGCCTCGTAAGTGGCGGCTGGCCTGGCACCAAGCCCTGCTTCTTCTGGGCGTGGTGGACCTACGTCATAGTCGTGGGCATCGTCCTCGTTGGTATCTGCCTTGTCATCATCGCTGTGCTGTGCATTCGGAAGCACCACCACCGCCGGTCGCTGGAGCATCCGTCGTTCGCGCAGCTCCAAGAAACGCTGCTTGAGAGCGGGCCGTCGCCGATGCTGTCGTCCAACACGTCGGACGACATTCTCATGATGGTCGAAGCTCGCCCACCGCAGTATTCCTAATGTCACAAGCCTGTACACTAAAGCTAGGGTCAGTAAACTGTCTATTGCCCCTTGACTCTGTCACCACAACACAACTTCAACTTGCCAAAGCCAAGTCCAGAATTCTCTCGAATCCGGATACGCTGTGGCTGAGTATCCGGCCGACTCCGGACGTTGGTCATATCCATATTGACCCGATGGCGCAGTTTGGTATGGTGATCGCGGGGCGGCCCGTCGTGACGGACTTTGCGTACGCTGTATATGGACAAGGATACGGAGCTGACGTGGATCGGCGCGCGTAGGGAGATCAGCCCGACGCAGTTTGTCGTCGACGTGCCATACCCCGAGCAGGTCACCGACATCACGTTCTTCCTCCTCCCGCACTCGCCCGTGCCGCCGGGCTACGCTGGTGCGCGGCCTCGCCTCGCTGTTCTCTCCTGACGTATGGATGTAGCGGTACTGTACTTTGCGGTGCCACACCTGCAGAACTGGCAGCTCCTCGGCAGCGTCTTTGCCGAGAAGCCCAGCGCGATCTTCCGCACGTCGTGGCCGACGCACCCGGACGTGGCCAACCAGCCCATCATCCAAGTGGGCGTCTCCATCGAGCCGTATGTACCATCACGCTGCTGCTGCTGGTCGATGCAGTAGGGCTCATGTCTGCCATGCGTAGCGTCGACAACGTCAAGAACCTCGGCATCGAAGCCAGCGGCCTCACGGAGCGCAAGGCCTTTGCCCACAAGATCGCGGTGGACCTCTTCAACTTCATGTCGTCGTTTTCAACGAGCACGGACCGATCGCTCATGGTCATCCCGACGAACCTTCTCGACCGCTGGATCGAGCGCTTCGAAGCCAAGTACCGACGAGACCCCAACTTTATGATGAAAGCGTCGACGTAATACAAGAACCCGAGATTGAGAATGCAAGAAGTAGTGAAGAAGCCACTAGAAAAAAGTCGAGGGCGTTTAGCGCACTTGCTGGCGGAAGGGCTGCACGCGCTGTTCGAGCTGCTGCCACCGACGCAGCCGGTCATCGCACACCTGCTGCTTCCTACGCCGGCGTCACGACGATGCTCCAGAGAGATGACTGTACTTGTTTTCACGGTCCACGAGCTGCGCGGAGCACTGGTCAAAGAGCTGCGAGTCCATCTCCATGAAGAGCTTGAGGACGTTGAACGTGAGGCTCTGCACCGTTCTACAACAGGGTTGGAGTCCATATCTGACAAAACATGGACGTACGTGTGCCAGTGGTTGTCGCAGTTGTGGTACAGAGACCCAAAGATCATGGGCAGGATCTCCACGCGGTGCACGGCGACGAGGTTCACGAGCGACTCGTTGTTCCAGAGATACAAGGCGCGCTGCGACACCTGAAAGTGCGGGCTCGTGATGGACCGACCAATCTGAAGGAAGAGCGGCCGCATGACCTATTCACATCGACCATGAGTCAAGTTCCGTGGGTAAGGTCCGACTTGGGCAAACTGTTCGGGTTGTATTAACTCGATGATCTCTTCGAGCTCGTTCAGGAAGAGAATCTAGTGGGACTTGTAGCAGCCGAACATGAATAAGGGCGCAGTACCTCCTTGGCGCTCGCCGTGACGGGCCAGAACCGCAAGAGCCCCAGGATGATGGACGTCGCGGTTGTTGGGTCCTTCTCGACAAACTGCGCGGTACAGTACGCAAGCTCCTGATGGTACTGTCCAACGTTCGACGCCTACATCGCCCCATGAGCAACTGATGTAGCGCGAGATGCCAACCTTGTGGAGCGGAATCAGAGCCTTCTCCAGGAACTTTTGGTGCTCCGTCTTGAGCGGCAGTGCAAAGCCGTTGATGATGCTGCCGAGGATCTGGAGGAGCTCGACGACCCCGTTGAAATGGCCCGTCTCGTAGATGAATGTGAAGAAGACGTTGTTGATGGACCGGCGGATGAAGGACCGAAGCGCCATAAAGTTGCCGTAAATCCGGTGCAGGATGGTCTATACGCTGGTTCAAGCAACTTGCCGTTGTCTTCGTGGTGTACCTTGAGGTAGTCGCGCTCGCGAGGGTCCTCCGAGTCGAAGAGGTTGAGCAGTTGCAGCATGAAGCGCTTCGAGAAGTAGTCCTTGGCGGTCTTCGGGTCGACTTTGGCAAGCACAAAGCGGTACAGCAGCTCGTACACGAGCTGAAGGTGTGGCCATGCTTCTTCGAGCACGGGCTCATCTTCGTCGACGCCTACCGCGGGCGTGTCAAGATTACGCCGCCACGCCGTCGCGTGTACCTTCGATCTTGTCCTTGCCCGCAGCCTTCACAATGCGCTTGCCGCCGAGCGGTCGGTTGATGTTGGCCTCGACGCAAGTCATGAGGTCCTCGACGACCTGCGGGCTCCACGCGACCTTGCCATCGGAGAGGAGCTGGACGAGCTCGAGGAGCGCGAGCCGCTTGGCGTCCTTTTCGCGGACTTGTTTCCTCGGGTCGCTGAAGTCATACACGACGCAGCAGAGGCGCAGCTTCTGCCGGAAGAGCTTCATGCGCTCCGAGGGCGGCGCGTCGGCCAGCGCCGGTAGCTCGGCCAGCTTCGTCGTCTCCATGGCCCCCGCTGACTGATACTTGTTGTTGTGGGCGGCCATATTATTAATATAATACGCTTCAGCCGGGGCGTTCCTTAATTTCGGCCAATCCGCGCCGTGACGGACTGCAATTATGCCCAATGGCATCGCAGATTGAGGCAGGATACCATCGCGTGACGTTGTCGAAGAAGGAGGATGGACGGCCCGTGCCCATGGGATGCACGACGGGTTGCTGCAAAGCGCCAAGGCAGCCGAGAGGTTCGGTCGCAAGGCCGCCTCACCGCGCCCAAGCATGGACGGTGACCTCGGCGCCATGGATGTGTCGACCCCGGCGCGCGTCACGCAGTGACCAACAGCGTTCGGCCAAGCATTACCGCTGCACCCGCCACGAAGAGGACGAGCGGCTTCACCATCGCCAGTCGCAGGTAATGCATTAGCTCATGCCATGAGTGCAGCCATACCAAGATGCAGCAAGAAGCATAGCATTAAGTCATCCACTCGGGGTAGGCCGTCGTGAGCACTTGCACCGTGCGCTCAAGGGCGAGGACGGCGATCGTATCAAAGAGCATGAGGCACAGCACCTGCGCTTGCACCTAGAGTCATTGTCAGGTGATGCCGTGCCAGCTACGACGCCGATGTACCGTGTGCGATCCAAGCGGCACGAGCTCGAGCCACGTGTTCATCGCAGGCCACAGCTCCAGGAGCGTGACGAGGACAAACGCATACGAAGCATACGCGCAGCGAGCGAGGAGCTTGTGCTCGCGGAAGCTTTCCATGAAGGGGCGGCCCTTGTAGTTGGCGACGAACGTCGTCACTTGCATGCACGTCGCGAGGAGGAACATGAGTGTGTTGAGCGCATTGGGCGTGAAGTTCGCGTCCGCGTGCAGGCGCGGGTCGTTCCACTCGACGAGTGGCGCTGCGATCGAGAGGCCGAGCACGAGGCTGCAGAGATGGACGCCAAACTGGAGCAAGATTGAGCTCAGGACGCTCACGCAAAAGACGCGGCTCACGGGTCGCTCATGGCTAAGCGTCGTCGCGGGCTTGGCGTACGAGAGGAAGAGAAAGCAGAGCGCGACCAAGAGCCCGCTGCACGTGAGCTGCGCCTCGCCCTGCTTGACGCCGTAGACGTACAGGGCGCTAAGAACGTACGCCGAGACGAGGCAGTTGACGCCGAGGATCTTGTACATTTGCAGCGACGTCACGAGCGTGCACCGACCTTGTCGAATGACGTCCACGACGCAATGCAAACTCTCACCCCGCGACGTGAACGGCGACGCGATCGACGCGTCCCCCAGCGGCGGCGCGTCACGCGTGTGGTGACGCCGGTGCGTCGGACCGTTCACAAGTGAGATGCCGACGTGCGCCATCTTGAGCGCGCCAACGTCATTCGTGCCGTCGCCGCACATGGCCGTGACGCTTTGGCTCCTACGGCACCAACAATGACATGACCCGTGGCGTGCTGAGGACGCACGCATTCAAGGCGGCGAGGACGCCAGCCTTCTCGTCGGGCGAAGTGCGGGCAAAGACTTGCGTGAGCGGTGCCAGCGCTTGCAGCGACGTCGGCGAGAGGCTTGCAACGGCGCTTCCGAGCACACAGAAGTTGTGCGTCTCAGCCAGTGTCGCCAGCGTCTAGCAGTGGTGCAGCTTGAGTGTGTACTAGAGCAAACAATGTACCGCGTCGGAAAATGGGAGCTTCTCGGCCCCACTGGTCCACGAAAGGCCGGTCGGCGACGGCTCCAGCACGAGTGTCTCTGCGTGCGGCAACAGATGCACCTGACGTCATCATGACATTCTTTCAAGTGCCGTGAATTCAGACAACCTGTCGCGCGACGTCGCAGGCGGTGAGCGCGCTGTCGCCAGTGACCATAACGACGCGGTGGTTGGCCAGCTGCAGGTCTTGCACGACCCGTCGCGAGTCGGCTACGTGCGTCAGGAGAACCATCGTCAACCTTGCGGGACGTACGCTTGAGCGGGCAGTCGAGGACGAGAAACCCGGCAAACGTCAAGTGGGTCTCGGTGGCGTCGCGCGCGAGGTGCCGCGTCCTTGCCAAGTCCGAGATCGGCACGCGCTTGAAGCCGAGTGCCAGCACCCGCGCGCCTTTGCGAGCGTAGTGCTCGTGCACGTCTTTGTAGTACGACGGCACCTACTGTCCCGTGAGACGAGCGCCAATCGGGAACAGCTACGTTGGCGAAGAGGGGTTCCATGACCTCGGGGGCGCCTTTGGACACGACCCGCGCGTGGCCGACAGCGCTGCCGTCGTCGACCAGCACCTACGCGTTTGCTCTACTTTTTCAATCGAAGAGGGCTGCTATACGAGTGCACTCATGCGCCGCAGCTCGGACGAGAAGCCAAAGCGATGGACGATGCGAAGCGATCGGACGCTGAACGGATAGCGCGAGGTGACGCGGTCGAGCTGGTGCAGCGTCCAGTCGCGGAGGTGCGATAGCACCGTCTTCTCCAGCGGGTCGCCCGCGATAGCGCCGTTGAGCACCATCTACGAGGCGCGCCATGAGCACGCGCCAACGCATGCATGGTACCAGTGCGTGGCAGCTCGCGAGGACGATCTGGACGTCCATGGGCAGGGACCCGGGAGAGACGAGGGTGCGCGGGTCCGCGATCGGGAGCAGCGACGACGCGGTGAGCCCCGCGACGCCCCGGAGAGAAAGCGCGTCGGTCGTGAGCGTACCAGTCTTGTCGACGCAGACGACGTCAACCTTGCCGGCGATCGGAATTTTGAACGGCTGGGTGCAGAAAATCTCCATGCGAGAGAGCGAGAGGAGCGAGTTGGTGACGGCGAGAGAGAGCTCCATGGGCAGCTCGGGCGGTACGACCGACGTGATGATCATGACACAGTGCAAGAAGAGCTTGTAGCTGCTGCGCGTCGGGTCGCCCGCGCCCTAGCTGTCTTGAGTGTCGAATGGCGCACCAGTAAACGTACCTCGAGCAGGACGTAGAGCGACGCAGCGACCGCAAAGCACAACAAGAACAAAATGAAGCACAGCGACTCGGCGTTGTTGGCCGAGACGTGCGGCGACGCAAGCAGTATCGTTCGGAGCATGTTGCCCTACGCCGCACAGCATTACGCACGCACGCTATTGTCCAAGCACCTGCGTCGTCCCAAAGCCTGTGCGAAGAACGTACGCGACGCAGCCGAGGTCCGGTGGCGCCGGAAGCGCGTCGCTCTCGCCTTGGACATACGGTGTATGCTGGAGGATCTGCAAATTGGTGAATATATGCCGTGTGCAGAGGCGAGTACCTTGGTGCCGCCAAAGAGCACATGCCTGCGGTGCCGTCCGTCCATGAGCAGCGCACTCGACTCGAGCGGGTCGACGTGATCCTTTCGCAGTGGGATCGACTCGCCCGAGAGCATGGCCTCGTTCACGACGCACGCGCCGCGGAGAAGGAGAAGGTCGCACGGCGCGACAAGGCCGTTCTCGGTGTCGTCCGGCTCGGCCAGCGATGCCGTCCGGCCAACCGACACGAGGTCGCCTGGGACGAGGTCTATCGACGAGATGCTCTGCCACTTGGTCTACGTGACGTTTTGCTGACGGAATGAATAGTTGGACAATTTTGTACCATTCGATACGCGTACATGCGCGTCGGCGGCCGCTGCATGAGCGAGAGCAGCTCGAGGTTGTGCTGTCGCTGCTTGACGACTGTGCACTCGAAGAGCACGAGCATCACCATGGTCAGCAGCGAGTAGTACATGTACTCGTCCATGCACCACAGCAACATGCAAAAGAACTAGCGCGCACGCTGTCAGTATGTTCATGCTGAGAGCACGATCGTACCTGGAAGACAAAGAAGGGCGCGACGAGGTGCTGCTTGAGGAGCGTCCAGAAGGCGGGCATCGGGATCTCAAACTCGTTCTTTTGCCAGCGAAGGCCGGCAGCCTCGAGCGCAATGCGCGACGTGTACCCGTTGGCGCCAGCGTACGCAGCTAATGTGTTGGCGATGGGGTACGTGAGCCGACGAAAGCACACTGGCGCAGTCAAGGACGTGTCGAGGCAGAAGCGCAGCTTTTGGTAGGCGAACCAGAGCGTGGGGACTGGTATCGTTGCCTGCAAGCGCCATGACGCGCTGCAAGAGAATGAAGATGGGCGTACCTTTTGCACCTGCAGCTTGGGCGATGGCGCCTCGCGTTGAATCGGACACAGCTCCACCGGCAGCGACGGCGACGTCGGCTTGACCTTGACGACCACGTCGTCGTAGAGCGAGAGGCCAGCAATGGAGATGCGCGAGTACGCCACGAAGCACTTGACGCGGAGGCTCCACTCGCTCGCAAAGAACGCGAGCGCGTGCATACAGGCCACGAGCGCGAGACCGACGGCAAAGCCATGGCCGCGTTGCGCTGACGCCGCGCACGCGCTAAACGTGGCGTAGAGCATACCGAATGGAAGGACATCGAGGCGCAGCAGCGTCGGCAGTGGGCGGTAGAGAGCGAGGCCCGGACGCAGCTCGGCGTCGTCCACCTGCGCCATGCCCCCACTTGGTGTTTTTGCGGCAAAAATTCCAGTGGGACGAGGTATTCCTTGGAAACGACGCAGCGAGAGCTGTAATCGGATTATGACGGATGGCGATCTTGGAGAGGCGCCGAGACTCGCGCCATTGTGTAGGACGAATGGACAGAACACCGATGCCACCAAGGTCAAGTGTCTGCGCAGCCTCTGCTCTAGTTGGACGCGACCAATGTGTGCTGCAGACGAGGGCGGACGGAACCATGTGCGCCGGTTGCTCTTGCGTAGCTCGCGGCTGTCGTCTTCATGGTTGAAACACGCGGCCAACAAAAGAGTGCTGTCGGCAGTGTGACGTACGCTCTTGAGAAGGCGCTCTACCGCTGGATTTCTCGCTGTTAATTCAAGTCTTCAAAGTCGTCCTCAGTCCCGTGTCGAATAATCTAGAGCTGAAGCCTCCAGGTACTCCACTGCTTCATGCACTACTGGTGAGTCTGTACGTGTAGGTGCTCAGCAGGGGTATTTCTAATCTTTTAACTTAATATGTAAACGTAGGAACGCACAGAGAGGCATGCCCGCGTGGTCGCGCACTGAAGATCGCCACTCAAATTCAAAGTGTACACCGGGGTACAGCGCCCGCCAAAACGCTGCAAGTACGAATCCGCTCCTGTCAACGTCAAGCAACGTGGGGGGTGTACTTCAAGCGCAAACAATAGAACGCATTCTTCGTTACGGGGTTTGAGGTCTGCTGTGTCCGACACGTAGTCTGTTGTCATACCTGGTTTTGCGATGATTTCCTTCTGGTACACCGGGGCATGACCAGCTGCCACCTTGGCATTGGCGATTACGAAGATGTTTGGCCTGGAAGCATTGGCGTCGGTCGACGTCGGTCCTTCCTTCGCAGTCGGGCTCGTCGTTGCCCTCACCTCGATGGCGCTGCTCCTGCGCAAGTGGCTCTACCAGGCGCGGCCGCTTACAACCGTCGCGGGCGACCGCATCGTGTCGCTGGCCAACGACCGGCTTATGCACACGATCGTCGTGCCCGCGGTAGCGCCGACAAACACACTCGTGCTTATCGTGCCCGGCAACCCCGGTGTACCCGGCTTCTACGAGCCCATGATGCGCCACCTGCACGCCCTCGGACATGGCTCGTTCGAGGTCGTCGGCCTCTCGCATACGGGCCACTCGATGCCGTGGCTGCACCGGGACGGGACCTTTGACCTCTCGACGCAGATCGCCGACAAGATCGCGTACATCGACGCGCGGCTCAAGGCGAATCCGCTCCTCGAGCTCGTCCTCGTCGGCCACTCGATCGGCGCGCACATTGCGCTTGGCATGTTCTCGCACTGCCCCCATCGCGTCTCCAAGGTGGTCTTGCTGCAGCCGGCGGTGATGCACATTGCGCAGTCGGCGAGTGGCCAGCGCCTCGGGCCCTTCTTTCGCCTCTTCTACCCCATCTCGCTGCTCGTGTGGCCCTTTGAGTGGCTTCCGTCGTCGCTTGTCAAGGCGGCCTTGCCCTTCTTCGTCGGGCAAAACACCGTGTTGCAGTCGGCCGCCCACTCGCTGCTCAACCACCACGTCATCCGCAACATCCTCAACATGGCGCGCCACGAGATGGCCGAGCTCAAGGATATTGATCACGAGCTCATGGGCGCGTACCAAGACAAGGTGCGCCTCGTCTTCTCCGAGGTCGACAACTGGGTCCCGACGGCGCATGCGACGCACTTGACGCAGACATACCCCGAGGTCGTCGCGACCACCGTCGACCTCCCGCACGCCTTCATGACGGACGCCCGCGGCTCCAACGCCATGGCCGAAGTCATCTATCGCTGGATGCACGGCAGCAAGTAGATGATAGAGTTAATCGCATCTTGAGAATGGAAGCGACAGAGGATTGTTGATCTCTAGATCTGCGAGCACAAACTCGACGCTGTTTCCGGTGCATGTACGACGAACGCGCCTACGCGACGAGGTGACGCAACAACGTCGTCGGCGTAGATAGCGTCGTGCTGCCCAAAATGAGCTGCACGTCCGTCCGGCCCTTCATCACGTCTGCGATTGCCTGCACCTACAGCACCAATAGATTAAAATCAACTTGATACTGCGATGGTGCGGACTTCGTGGGCCGAGATGCCGCCGATGACAAAGACGACGCAGACCGCGCCCGGTGTCGAGAGGTGGGGTACAACCACCGGCGCGCCTTTGATACCTTGGCCACTCAAGCCAAACACACTAGCACATAGGATCAGCTGAAATGTCGACACTCGACACGCGAACCTGAGACCCGACTTGAGCAGGTCAATGCCGGCGCGTGCGAGTTGCTCCGAGGCGTCTGTCACCTACACGGCGGTTGGCGCCAAGGCGTTTCTATACCGTGTCGTACGTGCTGGAGGTCCTTGATCGTCGGGCACGATGGGTCCACGAGCTGCGACACCACTTGCGGCAGCAGCCCCAGGGCAAAATCACTGGCAAGCGCCGGAGCCACTTCATGGTACAGTTGTCCACACTCCTACTATCATGTTAAGACGAGCCAAAGCAGACGCGCCGATCAGACCTCGAGCACGGGCAAGAGATGCGCCACGTACGCTTCGACTGCGGCCACCGTCGCGGGGGCGTGCGATGCTGTGGTTGGTAGTGACGGTGGGGCCTTGGCCGCGTCGTCGTCCCAGCCCCACTCGTCGTCTTCTTCGGTCGCCTCGGTGGGAAGTGGTTCTTGGTTCTTACTGCTGACGCTGCCGCACGTCATCAAGAGTTGGCATAAGTCTTGCGGCAAGAGGTCACTGGACCCGTCCTAGAGCTCAAGGTTCGAGGTGTGCCTCATGGAGATGCCGTGTACGTGGGCCAGGATCGCTTTCTGAAGCGCTTGCCGCACCATGCCACGCGTGTAGTCTTCCATTTCGTGGTTGCCAGCGATCGCAAAGGCGTAGACAAAGAGCTGCAAAACCGCATCGAGCGATAGCAGCGGCTCGTCGGGCACCATACCTTGCCGTATCGACCCCACGACGATGTAAGAATCTCTGTTTGGCTCGCATCAATGTTTTGAATATGGAGACGCATGGGAAAAGGATATGGTTGACGAGGTCGGCAACCTCGGGAAGGATCCACTCGGCCGCACCCTGGAAGCGGCTCTGCGCGTACCGCTTCTCAATGTTGGCCACGTGCGACCACAGAGCTTGCGTGGTTTCCATTCGGCCCATTGTCTCGAGCACCGCGAGGCCTAGCTGCAGCAGCTTCTTGTGCTGCCACGTCACCTTGGGGTCGTACGCGCCATCGATGCACGCAAGCCATCGCTGGACGACGTCGCGGCCGCGGAGAGGCTGGTCCTTGGGCGTTTTCTCGGGCGTCGGTGTCGCCTTGGACTTGATAAGGTCCATAGCGACAGCGCGCAGGCTCGTCGAGAGTTCTCGAAGCGCGTTCACGGGTCCGTGGCTCAAAAGGTTGCGCACGGTGGCCGCTGCTACGGGGTCTTGGCCGTGGCAAACACTGACGCCGCCACTCCACTAGACGCAGTGTACAGCGGCGTCCATCTTACACAGATGACGCACCGATGCGGGTACCGACAGACGGTTCTTGGCGTGCTCGGCCGCTGCATCCAGTGGCGCGACCTGCGTGATGTGCTCCTACACAAATAACATGAGCGACACTATGGCGAAGAACCGCCGTCGGACCGCGGCGGGCGGCGTAGACGCCTTGGGCAGCTGTTGCAGAATGCGATCGAGAAGAGAAAATTGATGCGACGACGGCGTTGCAAGGTCCAGTGTGCTGTGCATCGCATGTCAGTCGTGGCCAACGTGTGGCGTCGACGTACCGGTCGATCAGAATCAAGTTGGCCGGCTGCAGCAGCTTGAGGTCTCCTGGTGTGCACTCGCCTTGCATCAAGTGCAGCGTATGCAACTACGTCAACCGTCCAAGTCCACGGACCAGCAAACGACCTTGCGTACCAGAGTGTGACCAACCTTGAGCGACGTTCCACCCAGAGCGAAAATATGGTCCTTGACCTATGCTCCGGCCATGAGTTGCAAGCATTTCGTAAATCGAGACACGCCTGGAAGCGCCATTGCTGGAGGATACCGGCGAGGACCTGCGCGAGGAGCTTGAAAGCTCTGCGACTCGCTTCAGGGATGTCGGCCGGGGCAATCTCGTTGACGTGCGTCGCGGGTGTCGCCGGCAACTGCGTGCGCATGAGCGGGAACGCCGCCGCGCACGTGGGGTGCGTGAGCACAAATACGCTCGGGTCGGCGCCATCTTTTTCGCTGAGCGGTGCGTACATGAGAGGAACGTACTCGACATAGACCTTGGCGGGTGCAGGCAGGAGCGATGCGCGGAAGGCCTCAAACGAGAAGGCCGGGCCATGGGCCGTCTCGGGGATTGTCGACAGGACGACGAGCTGCGTCACGTGCGGCAGCATCGCGCGCAGCGTCGCCTCAACGTCGCCCAAGGCCGAGCACGTTAACACAGCGACGCTTGGCGGGCGCACGAGCTGGAACGGGTTCAAGGTAGCGGCTGGCGACCGCTTGACGTCTTCGAGCGCCACAACAGAGGCGATTTGGAGGTTCTGGAGGACGAACGGCAAGCCGCCCGCCCACTGCAGCGCCTCGGCGCTGCTGCTGTCGGCGACGAGCACGGCTTGGCGCAGCTGAAGGCGGGACGCGACGTCAACGAGCGGCCCCAGGCTTTCGTCGCAGCAACGGAACGGGCGCATGCGTCGATTGCAACAAATGCCCTCCAGAATCCGATGCTATCGTCGAGCAATATCATATTTCAGAGTTGATGTCGTCTCCTGCCTTGCTTCTAGTCGCGAGGCGCTGCAGTGGGCTGGGTTGACTGGCAGGTTTAAATGGTTTAAATGTGATTAACCTATTCACCGACCTTGAAGCTCTCTCGTGCGTGTAGCCTCTGAGAGTACGCTTCGCTCATGCTGCAGCTCGAACGACGACGCGTCGTGGGTTTATGCACAGGGAGGCTGTTCATGCTGGTCATGCGAGGATTGTGCGTCCACAACCTCTGCACGTTCTGGTGGCTCAAACCCGTCCAGTCCAAATTGTACTGCTACCATCGAGGTGCAAAATTTGAAATAGCTTTCATGCACATGAGGCCGTCCAGAGCCATTGGCAGATTGGCGCTCTTGGAGCGGCTAAGTTCGTCCGTTTCAGCATGGCCAAGAAGCTGTCGATGGCGGCGCAAGAGCACGCCGGCTATGCGTTTGCTGCGCAGCTGCTGTCCCTCGACGCACTGTCGTCGTCGCATCTCAAGAAGGAGACGCTAAGCCCGTGGGTCGTTCACGCCCACCACTGCGGCCTCGAGTACCGCGCCGGCATGCCACCGCCACCGACGATTGCCGTCGCGAGGCCGCCGTCCACCCTGCGCGGCGTCTTTGAGCTCGAAGGCGCGATCGAGTCTCTCCACGAGACGCTGGACGGTCGACCTGCGTGCCTCCACTTGGTGTTTCGCGCCAAAACCATGGTGCTCTGGCTGCATTCCCACGATAAGTTTCTCTTGTACGTGTGCCCGGCCAAAGTCAAAGTGCTCAAGACGCTGTCCGAGGTCGTCGTCAAGATGACGGAGGACGTCCTTTCCGACGAGCCATGCACGCTGCGTCTCGTCGTGGCGACGAGCAACCAAACCGACTCGACGCTGAAATCGTCAGCGACAACGATATCACACACGGGCCCTGTCGAGAGCCCCTCCATTGATTTGACGCGTCTGGCGTCGCCTTGCCCGACGCAGTTGGAGACCACGTCAGGAACCATCGAGACCGAGCTCACCGTAGAGAAAGCTTTGAGCTTTACCCCGCGCCAGGCCTCGCCCTCCGCCAAGTTGAACTGCAGTCCAACCTCGCCGGGGCATCGAGCGTCGCTATCTCGGAGCGATGGTCATCCTCAAGAGGCGCTTGGAACACACATCCAAATGCGCACGGACAATGAGCGCACGAGCGTCGAGAATCTCTTGCCTTCTGCACTGGCACTGCCCGATGCACCACTGATGCCAAGCCCTTTTCCATCACCACAGCGGCGCGTCGTGCCCAACCAAGATGACGTCATCGGCAGCAGCATCGACAGAAGCGCCGGGCCAGACAAGTCGGCGTCGATTGGGACAGTATGTGACAGCACGTCACCGACAACTTTCAGAGAGTCCGAGAGAAGTGACGGTGTAGCAACATACCACCTCGAATGGGACGAGCGTCGGGATCCACGCGTGGACGTAGCGCCAGTGCAAAGCCTCTCACCGTTCAAAGCTGCAAGCTCGAGCGTGTATCCACTGCCCAACTACAAGGCAAAACTCGGAGCGGTACGACCCGGCATCTGTCGCCGCTTTGTGTGAGAAACCATTTAGACGGCGTGGGCGCTTCTGGAGCTGCAAGCAGCAGCGCTCGCTACCAATACGACGGGCGTATTGGACCGGCGTCGACAGAGCTCAGCGAGCCTACCTGCCGCAGCCGATCAAATCTCGTCGCACAAAAGTGGTTTACCTCAACACCCACGCGACGCACCTCGAGCAAAAGCAAGTTTGTTTGCGGAGAATGATGTTGCAGAGTCGCCCACAAGTCGAGGGACCGAGCCGGATCCGGGCCTGAACGACGCAGTACCTAGCGCCACCGCACCGTTGACGACCCCAGAAACACCTCCAACAACGCCGCTAACAACGCCGCCATCATCGCCACCATCAACGCCGCCATCAACGCCGCCAAACGTACTGCGATCAATGGACACGCCGGTGCCATTGGAAGGTTCACATTTCGTCATGGAGGCACGGCACCAAGTTAGGCAAGTGGAAGTCGGCCGCTTTGAGCCAGTGCCACTCCTTCCCTTGTTTGTCGCTCCAAGCGTCGAGATGCGGCTCGGGGCGTTGCCCGAAACACCGACTAGAACGTCACAGCTATCACCACTCGGAACGTCCGACCAAAGCTCGAGTCCGTCGCTCACACACGGGGCGTGTGGTATGTTGGGAGCTGCGGCGTCACCTTCGTTGACAGCACACGACGCGTCGAAGAGCGTCAGGAAACACGCAGGCGCGTCTTGTGATCAGCCCAGTCTGTTTTCCTTTGCGCCCGTCGACGCGGTTCGAACGACGACGTCGGCCAAGAAAATGACGTTCCAAGATGTCCGCGCGCTTCGCCAGTCGGTCCAAAGTCGACGGGAAACACCGTGGCTTGGTGTGGATCGAACCGAGGACCTTGCGACTCATCTCGCGCTGCAAGACGAAGCCAAGGTTGCACTATTGCAGCCAAACAACGCCGAGCTGGCAAATGCGTCAAGCCTGTGTCAACAATCGCCAGTACGAAACGAAATCGCATCCAACCTAGCTTGGACCAGTGCACAACATCGGGCAGGGGTGTCAGAGCCTCGGACGCCACCTGCGGTGCCCCCACGCCGACGTTGTCCACCCCCTCTCGCAGCTGATTCGCCGCCACCTTCTCCGCCAAAGAGCCCGCCACCACCGCAATGTAGTTCTGCACTGACTTTGTCGGAAGAGTTGACAGTCGCGACCGACGAAGGAATGGCTCAATTTGTGCCGCACTCAGTCTCCGCTCGAGAAGATACGACAATGGAAACGATATCGCCAACAGCGCTTGAAGCAGCACTCGAGCACTCAATAGAGCCCCTTGCAGATACGAATCCACCGTCATCAACGACGATCCAGCCACGTGCGATCTCGCCATTCCTCACCCCGATACGAGAGACCGCGCGTCAGCCAACGTCCGTGGACTTGCATTTTGTGGGCGTCGAGGCACCGCCGACGCTCGACCGATCACAACGTCTCGCTGAGCTACGGGCAGAAAAGATCAAGGCGCAGCGGCTTCGGCAGCTCGAAACGCGGCGACTGCAGATCCAGGCGCGTGCACCGCTTGATGACCCCAAGGTCGCAGCCTCCAAGCCATCCAACCGCCAGCTCATCCAGAACGCCATCGAATACACGCTCTTGGCAGGCGTCGCATGTGAGAAGGAGCGGACCAAGGTGTTGGGCGTGCTCGCGACACATCCGAGCGAAAACTTTGTCGTTGCGCTGAAAGGCTCGGCCCTCGATAGCCGCAAAATGACGTACCGCGGTCTTTACGTGCTCGACCCTGCGTCGGGTGTCGTGAGCAGAGTCCTCGGGTCTGGCCCCAGCACGCTCGACGCCTCCAATGTGATTCAGTTTTTCCGGTACAACTCGGGGAAAAAAGCCTTCGTCGGCGTCTCGACCCGCAGCTTTACCGTGGCAACGGACGCCGCTGCCGTGCCCGACGACTGCTTTCGGCCGCTCAAAACCAAACGCCCCTCGTACCTCTGAAGCGGTCGGACATTGCTCGCGTGGCTGCAACTCTATTGCATACTGCTGCGAATCATAACCGCAAACGAAAAGCCGTTGAAAGTGTGCAAGTGGTTTAGATTCTTCATAGTGTAGTCTCATGGACCTACGCGGTGGAGCGTCGCCTGGAAGCGTCGGAGGGACTCTTTGGCTGCGTTCAGCGAGTCAGCGTTCGAGGCGGGTCGTCCAACACCGCGCTGGGCAGTCGCCAGAGTTCGTCGCAACTCCAAAGTCCACGCGTCGACGCGGTCCTCGCCAAGATCAACCGGCGGCGTGTAGAGCTGCTGAAGCTTGCGCCGTGCGCCCGAGAGCGCCGCATCCGCACCAGCTTCTTGTGCCACCTGGGTTTGCTCCAGCTGGCCCAGCAGCATCGACAAGGTTTCTTCTTGGTGCGACAAGTGTTGCGTCGCGGGGTCCTTTGCTGCCATGGCCGCAATCGCCGCCCTACGCCGCTTTAATGCCTCGTTTTCAGTGATTTTAGCGATAGTACCGTGCCGTGTCAATTTGGCGCTGCAGCTGTCGGCTCATCTCTCCCTTTACGTTCGCTAGTGCGTCCGTGGATCGCGCTGGTGGCTTGACGTCTGTTGGTTCGTCCTCTTGGTTGCTTACTACGCACAAGGTCTTGGTGACATGCTCTTGGTTTCCGTCAAGCACCTTGGTGCTTGTATGACTCGACACGGATCTGCGCTTTGGCCGCCACGTCCTTCAAGGAAAGCACTTGGGCCTCCAACTCTGATTTCTCGCGGGTCAAGGTCTCAGTCTGCGCCTCGGCCACGACCGCACGCTCGTGCAGTGTCGCACTGTCCCTACTCGACGATGACGCGCGGTGAACGAATGTCAAGAGTCGGGAACCGTCGAAGGTGCGAGAGCATCGCTAGGTGGCAAGCAAGCTCACTGCGCGTCGAATGAAGCTCTTGCCGCAGGTCCGTATTGAGCTTCTCTGCTTCGAGACGGAGCAACTTGGCTGTCGTCAGCTCGACTTCCCACTACAAGTCATCTCAAATGCACACGTGCACCAAGTTACTTTACGTGTTTGGCCTGGGCATCGTATTGCGCCTTGTGGAGGCGCAGCAACTCCTGTGACGCGCGCACCTCGGCTTCCAAGACCTTGGTCTATCAAGGAGCAGTGGGCTACGAAGGAGTCCACGATGTCGCACCATAGCGTGAACATGACTTTCATGTAGCTTGTGTGTCTCGAACGCGTTGGACGGTGCATCTGCGAGAATGTCGTCAAGAAGGCGCAAGGTCTCCTGCTGAAGCTGTTCCAAGGCAGAAACTAGCGGCTCGGAACGCCGGTCTTGCGATCTGGTAGCCGTTGCGGCCGCCAGAATGTCACGTAGGCGGCCTAACTGGTGTTGCATGTGCGCATATTTGGTCGCGAGTTGCAGTTCATCAGGGCCGTTGTCCTTCTCCGAAGTTGTTTGGCTGCTACCGTCTACCGTACTTGCAATAGGGTCGCACTGGCTGCTACTGTCGTCCGGTTGGACAGCGACTGTGTCGACGTGGGCGGAACTGTGTGCTATTGGCGTAGTGTTGGCAGTAGCGTCCTTCGTGGCAACAACAGCCATGCTACTGCAGTCAACCATCGCCACCAGTGGCACATTGCTGGTCAAAACGGGTTCTGGTGCGCAATCGTTTGGCGTCGAGTCCATCTTGAAGCTAACAGTCGGCACTGTGATGCCTTGCGACAAGCGGAGTTCGGGTGATGCGTCGCCCTCGTGCTGCAAGGCGGCGTAGACGACGTAGATGCGCGCTTTTGCGTGGAGCTTGAGTACTGTCCGATTCAGAGGCTTCGACGACCGAAGACGCAAACACACTTTGGCTCTACATAAACGCGTCGATTAGCGCGCGCCAGACAAGAGCACGACTGTACTTGAAGCTTCCGAGGTCGCACTCGATGGACTCGACGGCGCCGTACTTGTTCAGACAGCGCTACGCCTCGGGGATGAGCTGTCGCACAAAACCCAAGAGATACGAGCAAGTGGTCTTCCGATGCGATCGCGTCCTCTGGCCACTGCAGCTTGAGCAGAAAGAGAAGCTCTTTGGCTGTGGGCATGGATGCTTGGCAGTCGTACGGCCAGCTCGCTGCACCTGCAATGAGCGCGTTCGAGAGCACAATGCGCGCCTTGACTGCGTCGCCTAGGCGTACATACGTGATAGCAACCGTGGTCCAGTGCGTCGTCGTACGTTGGTTGAGCGACACGGGGTCCTCGGAAGGCCGGACGACGTGCAGGCCCACGAGACGACTCAAGTGCTTCACTGGCTTGCGCACATCGAGACATGACGCTACCTGTGCACAGAGTGCTCAAAGAATGCAGGCACTCAGAGGCCATTACATGTGCGAGGTGGCCAAGCAGGACGCGGAGCACTTGGCGGCTTGTGGAGCGGACCTTTGGCAAGGCCGTGGCAATGGCTTCGATCGTACTAGTACGTCCACGCTCCAGGAGCTCTTGGGAGACGGTGTACGATAGCAAAGGTTCGTATGTGTGCAGAATCTAGCACAACGTTGAGTGGAATCCTACTCATAAGAGCAACCTGGACGATCACGGTCGTGAGCACGGCAGAAGAGAAGGCGGACAGGCGCTCCGAGATGGGCGCGCTCGTGTTCGACGCGTGGTGCTGGACGAGCTCCAAGAGCTCCGATGCATCGGTGCTCCGGCCTTGCTCGCGGTACAACGTCTCATTGATGGTACAATGCGTGTCGACGTATGTGATGAGCTCGATGAGCAGCCAGCTGACACGAACTGGGATTTTGGGCAAGGGCTCTAGCATTACGTAGACGCGTGGCCGAGTGGCGGTTTGTGCGCACCGTGGATTTGCCGCAGCGACGGCCGCGTCGGCGACAAGAGCACCGACGTCTGCCGCAGCACCTTGCGCCACGTCGACGCCATGCCAAAGATACGCACCTAGTCCGTTTCGACCGCCAGCAATAACGGATAAAGTATAGTGCTCGTTCAAGTGCGACGACGAAGAGTCACGAATGTCGATGGCAACAGTGGACCGCCGGCCGTCGCGGACGATGCAGCGGAGCTTCCGGAGCGAGCGGCAGCGGACAACGGAGCGGTCGAGCTTGCATTGTTGCAGAAATGGCCACTGGGATTTTTTCCACGGTATTCCCAAGGGCTTTAGCCTCCGGACGCGCGTGCGCATCAAGCTCGAAAACTCGAGCGTCGGACAAGCGTGGGATCTCTTCCAGACAATGACGTCGCTTGTTGCGTGCGGGCTCTACATCGTACAGAGCTACAACGGCGAGGTCCGGTTGTCAGCGCTCGACATGACGTTCATCACTGTGTTTGCTGCCGACTACCTCATGCGCTTCTACTGTGCCGAGAACCGGTAGGGACCTCGTCGTTTCCATCAGATCTTAGCTCGGCACGTAGCATCCTCTTCCCGTTCACGTTCAATGCCATCATCGACGTGCTTGCAATCATTCCGTCGCTCTACGACTTTACGACGACCGCCAGCACGCCGTCGTCAGCGCCACGCACCCACGCGCAGCCGACGTTCGCGTTTTTCCGGTTTGTGCGCGTGCTGCGCGTCATGAAAGCGATCCAGTTGTCCCGGACGAGCTCCCACCACCGAATCTCTGGTACGACATTGACGGGGCCCGCTCTTTAGCGTTGCTGTGTAGCGGTGCAGAAGCAGCTCGCGGGCTTGGGTCTCCTCGTGACGAGCATCCTCTTTATTTCAGCGTGTTTGTTTCAAACCGTCGAAAACTACGCGCGAGACATCAACGACGAGCAGCTCTCGCTCGGCGACGCGTTCTACTTTATCCTTGTCACCATTTCGACCGTCGGCTACGGCGACATTGCGTACGCTGCTTGAATACGTCAACCCCACGACGATGGTGTCGTAGGCCGCACACGACGTACGGCAAACTCGTGGCGTGCAGCGTCATTGTGTGCTCGCTGATCCTGGTGCCCCAAGAGGTCAACAACCTCGTCTCGCTGCTCGCGATGCAGTCGCCGTTCCGGAAGACGTATATTCCAGAGCTCAACAACCCGCACGTGCTCGTTCTCGGACACACGGCCAATGCGACTGTTCTCACCGAGTTTTTCACCGAGTTTTACCATCCCGACCGCATCGTGAGCAGCGCAACGGGCGAAGCGTCTGTCAACCGCATTCCATGCGTCGTCATGGCGCCACACGAGCCAAGCGAAGCCGTTCGCGCCATTCTCATCCACCCGCTTTTTATGGTACGGCTTTGCCCACGTTCGTCAGGCAACACATGTTACTAGGGCAAGGTGTTTTACGTCAAAGGCTCCATCTTGAGTGAAGAGGACCTTCATCGCGTCGCGGTGGACAAGGCGCAGGCGGCCTTCATCTTGACCGACAAAAACTCTCACGATCCCGTCTCCGAGGACGCCAACGCGGTGCTTCGGTCTCTCGTGCTCGAAAACTGCAGCCCTGGTACGTCGTCGACCTTCGAGTGCATGAAATGGCTATCGACTATGGGTAGCTTTGCAAACGTTTATTCAAATCATTAGCCCGTCCTACGCCGACTTTACCACCCACGTACGTGGCAGTTATGCCAAAGGACGGCGTCGAAGGAAGCCGTGTAGAACGAGTTGCACCACATTTTGTGCATCGACCAGCACAAACTCAGTCTCTTGGCCAAGAGTTGTCTCTGTCCTGGTCTCTCGACGCTGGTCTGCAACCTCTTTCGGTCCGCCATCTTGCCCGAGGGTCACTCGACGGTCGAGTGGCGGCGCGAATACCTCCTTGGCACGTCCCTCGAGATCTATACGACGGCCGTTCCCGAGTACCTCGTCAACCTCAGCTTCACCAAAGCTGCTGACGTTATTTACGACATCTTTGACGGCGAAGTGGTCCTTGTCGGCGTCCACGAGGACGTTTTGCCAGAGACATCGTCATTCCAGCCAGCGGTTGCAACGTATCTAAGTCCTGCACCGGCGTCGCTTCTACATGCGATCGCGGACCTCGGGTCGGAGCTGCTGAAAGAAGAGATTCTAAAACCACTGCGACCATCAGTGGTGACGCCGTCCGGAAAACAACCGTCCACATCGCCCATCCAAAACACCTATGTCAACCCTGGCAGCCACTACATTCTGACGCGTCACATGACGCTGTATGTGCTCTGCGAAAGCAAGAACGTCGCGGAGCTAGTGAGTCGCTGCGAATGCTACGAAGCGTGGGTTGCCAAAGGCCACTCGATCGACCGCAAGCTTCAAACGACCTCGACCAAGCACAAGACGCCCCACAAGACGCCGCACGAGCTTCTCCAGGCGAATGCGCGACTCGTTTCGACGCGGAAGCCCGTCCAGCGGTCTCTAGAGGACGTGTGCATTGGCCCGATTGGGTCTGAAAACCCGTTGGACGACAACATGCAGATCCGCAACCATATTCTCGTGGTCTCCGACTTGGTGCAGGTCCCGATCGAGACGTTCATCAAGCCACTGCGGCTTGCCCACTATACGGTTGGCTCCAAGTACTACCACCCGATCGTCTTCATGTCGACGTCGGAGCAAGGCATCGTGGACGCATTCCGCGTCGCACGGCACTACGAAGGCGTCTACTTACTCCACGCCGCCGACGACTCGAAGGAGTCGTTTTTTGAGGCTGGCATCACCAAGGTTGGATCGTCCAGGGAATTGAGACGTGACGCAAACTAGGCAAAATGCTGCGTTCTGCTCGCAGAGAAGGCCGGTCAGCGTGTCATGGACGGCGAAAGCCTTGACAGCCGCGTGATCTTTCGGTACCTCACGGTGCAAAAAATTGTCGAGAACTACGGTGCCATCATGCGCGCGGACTTCACCGTTCTTGTCGAAATGGTCGCCGCAAGGTAGGCTGGGATTGGTTTTTCTTCACGGACGAGACTCTCTAGCACGATGAAAGTGATGGACTCGACACTTGGGAAGCGACTGCGAGCGACGGCAAATGCGCCACGGCGGCCGTCCGTGGGTCCATACACCCTCATCAAAGACTCTGCCCACCGTCGACCGGCGTCGCTCATGGAGCGCTGCAGCAGCGTTGTGCTATCGTACTATGCAGGAGGCCTCGAATGGTGTCTGAGCAGCAGTGTGTAGACTGCAAGAGCACTCCAAGGTGCGCGCCGAGCGTCAACGCAACTTGCAGACGATCCGGCGCAAGCACAAGGGGCCTGCGTTTGGGTCCTCGCACCACGCGATACTGGCTTTCTACGCGGCCGGTTACGGTGTTTCGACCGACGTCTTTGACAGCTTGCTCTGCCAAAGCTTCTTCACACCCGAGCTCATCCGTTTCACGCAGGAGCTGCTCTGCATGGACCAGCGCTACGTCGGAGACGACGACGGGCACATCGTCGTTTCCAGCTCGCTCAACCAGATCTCCCTACCATCCACCTTTGCGGGCAAGACGTTTGGGGACCTCTTTGGCTATCTCCTGGCGTTCGAGAGCGTCGTCGCGATTGGTCTGTACCGTGACACGGACAGCGCGTCATCGCTGCCGTACGTGTACACAGTGCCCAAACGAGACGTGATCTTGCGAAAGGATGACTTGGTCTTTGTCTTGGCTCAGCCACACACGCAGATCGCACTCGAGAGCGCGAGCATTGTGGCGGACCACGACCAAGTCACAAGCCGCATTACCGAGGTCCAATACACGAAATCGTCCATCTCGGCCACGCTCAACAAGATCAAGGACGACAAGTTCCGGAAGGAACATACGTAAGAGTACACAAGGGTGAGGAAATCTCCAGTATCCACCAATGTTCCCTATGTCCAAATCAATGACGTGGCAGCACATGCAGTCTGCTGCTACAGCGTGACGCCACGTCACTGCGTCCCAAATTGCGAGGCGTCGGTGCTGAGCTGCACTAGAAATTTACTCCTGTGGAGGCGACTGGTGCTATTAGAAGACACGAGATATCGCGCGACACGAAGAAGTCGTCGCGATATTCGATGCAACAGGGCTCAGTGCTGGCACCCAGATCATAAAGACACGCTCGTGCTTATTGTTTCAGTTGGACATGCACTTTATCACGCAAGAGTAACCACACTACCATAACTGGTGAGCGACGGCGGAAAGCTTGAGTCTGTTGGCAACGAGGTATCATGTCGATGCAACGGAAGGTCGTTTGTGGAAGGTTTCTCGGTTTAAACCCAGGAGTTCGTTTGCTCATTTGTTCTGTGCTTGATACGTTCTTGAAAAAGTTCAATGCCACCAATGTCGAAGAGGAAAATTTATCTGGAAAATATCGAAGCCGCGGCCGTTCGAAAAAACAGATCCTCGCCGATCCCACTCGGCATCGGCCATTGCATTCCGCGTTTTGCCAAGGGATGGTGACCAAGACGGACTTGAAGCGCCAGGGCGTCAACCTGGCGTTCGGCCAAGGCATCTCGGTATGCCTCACGGCCACTGGCGTCTTCTCTCAGTACCTCTCGCGCAACAACGCAAGCGCGCCAACCTTCCAGACGCTCTTCCTCTACGTCGGTCTTGGTCTTGTCTTTGCCTCGTACTTTTATGCGCAGCGCCGACCGTCTGTGCACTTGCCGTGGTGGTACTGGTGGCTCCTTGGCTTCGTGGACGTCGAAGCCAACTACTTTTGCGTCCTCGCGTTCCGCGGTGTCGTTAATTTTGCCGTCCTCGGGCTCATTCTGCACATGACAGTGCCGTTCGTGACGCTCCTGAGCTACTTTGTGCTCCGGAAGCGGTACCACGCGCTGCACATGGTCGGGTGTGCGTTTGCGCTCGCCGGGTGCGTCGTCATCTTTGCCCACAACAACGAGAGTGCCGAGTACCCGGACCAGGGCAAAGGCAACGCGTGGTCGCTCGCGGCTGCATTTCTCTACGGCGTCTCCAACCTCATGAGTGAATATGCCGTCAAGCGCGGTGGCCTCGACGCTAACGTCGAGTGTCTGGGGAAGCTTGGCGCGACGGCCGCCGTCATTTCAGCGATTCAAGTGGCCATCTTCGAGCGAGACACGGTCGCGGCCGTCGACTGGTCGGGCGTCAACATTGGGTATACGGCTGGCTACGTCCTCGCCATGTTTATCTTTTACGTTGTCGTCAACATCTTCCTCCGCGTGACCGAGTCGCTCATGTTCAACCTCTCGCTGCTCACTGCCGACATTTACAACGCCGCGATGAACTACGTGTGCTTTGGCGACGCTGTCCCTGGCATCTACTGGCTGGCCCTCGCCCTCAACTACGTCGGCACGGCTGTCTACGCGCTGAAAGAGCCGACACAACTGCCACCAAAAGGCGAAACCACGGTGGAGTTTAACGAGCTGCGCACACCACCCAGTGAAAAACCGATTGCCGACTTGGTTTAAGACCACTCACGACCCTACAGCATGCACAATGACCGCCGCAAACGTCAATTTCTGTTAGATTGGTCAATGAGCAATCAACGTTTCTACTCCACCTACGTACTTGAGAGTCCCCATCACATGTGACTCTCATGAGATGGTAACCATAAGCTTGGCACATCCAAGTGAGGTACACGATAAGTACAATACACTGGCACTTGGTAATCGAGAGAAGCAAATCCAAGAAATGTTGAGCCAAAAAGTCCCAACAGTTGCGGTTCCATGCGTTTCGGATACGAGTAGTGTATCCGGATATTGAGATTGCACCGGGTGGATGAGCAGCAAGCGGTACCGGGACGAGGACTTTGGCCTGAAGCGGTCGTCTGGCGTCGACTACACGCAGGTACATGACCGCGAGATCGACGACACGCGCTTCGCGCGGCAGAAAGCGCTGCGCTCGGGTCAGCTAGAGCCGACGGTGATCGAGGCCAAGTCGGCGACCATGGACGCCTTCATGCGCATGGTGACGGGCCAGGAGGAAAAGCCATCAATGGCAGAGCGGCTCGCGGGACCATCGAACCGGCCGACGTGGGAAGAATTCAAGAAGGAAAATGGTGACAAGCTCGCGATTAGTGCCAAGCGTGAGGAGAAGGAGATGCTCGAGTACCGCAAAGCCCTCGACGCGGAGCGCGCCAAGGTGCTCAAGCGCCAAGCCAAGAAATCCAAGAAGCGAAAGTCCCGTCACAGCAGCAGCGACGACGACAGCAGCGACGACGACGAGAGGAAGAAGCACAAGAAGAAGCACAAAAAACACAAAAAGGACAAGAAAGACAGAAAGAAGCGCGACAAGAGCGCATCGCCGGTCCGTCTCTCGTCGTTTTTCAACCAAAGTGACGATGAATAAATCGCTCTCTTGTCGTTCAGGTCCTCTTGTGCAGTTATGGTACACAGCTGTTACCGGTAGATTTTCATTGTTGTCAAGAAGAGGTCGGTGACGCCAGCATCCGCACACGCAGCGGCAAGAATCGACATGTCATCGAGCTCAGTCAAAGGCGTTGGGAGGCGTCGCAAAGCATCTCTGCTTGTCTCGACCTGCTCACCGCGAACGACCATTTGCTTCCAGCGGAGGTGCTGAAGACGCCGGACGTACTCGGCAACGTACGGCTCATCGCCCTCGACGATGATGACGCCGGGCCACCCAATTTTCGAAAAGCCACCGAGATGGAGCTCCTTGGCCCAGTCAATGACGACGCGGCGCTTGCTACTCGCGATAATGTGGTGGAAGTAAATGGCGCGGCGACCAAGGCAAGGTTGCGCGATCGGGACGAGAGGCGGCAATGCTAGCACTGGCGCCTCGAGATGGGCTTCATCTTGAATCTCTTGGAGGATATCAGCGGCAGCCTGATAGAGCTGAAAGGCCACGACTTCGCCGACTTGGTCGGTTGCGATGGACGCCAATCGCTCAACAATCGAATGCTTCTCCCTTCGCGACAACGTCGGACAGCGCAACTCAAAAGTCATGGCCGACGATGGGTACGTCGCCGGATACTGCAGCTCGAGCTCGGGCGCCGCGTTCTCAATGAGGCAGGTCTGTACATTGCATAAGTACATACCTGGGACGACCAGCACATTTCTTATATTACCTGGAACCGAAGGGTGGCAACCAGCCGTGGCAGCGTTATGGCCTCTGTGCCAGACGCCGCCGCTGCAGACTCATAGATAGCATGAACGTACGCGTCAATGACGAGCTCATCGTCACCAGGGAACATGCTTCGAAGACATTCGAGCTCTTCGTATTGCTGGCGCAAGTGGTCCCGCTCCACGACAACCTCAGCCATGCCTTAATCAAATGGACGTCCAATCCGTGCTTCGTATCGTAATGATTTCTGCCAATTAAAATGCCGCTACTCCTCGGACAGCAGCATACACGTCGAGGGTGGCACATTCAGCTCGCCGTACCAGTATTTCGATGTCAACAAGGACATTTTCGCTGCGTGAGTTGGTCGATGCGTTTACGCGTCAAACTGGAAGAGCGACGGAGCGCCAATCGCTGCCGTATCAAGCTCGGAGACCTTGTCGTAGAGGCCAAACATGCCTCCCGTGTGCACAAACAAGATGCTTTTGCCCGCAAATTTCTACGTGTCGTTGAGAGGCGCCCCAAAAGATGCAAAGGGACGAACCTCGGGTTGCGACTGGAGATCCTTGACGAGCAAGTAGAGGGCCTTGCCCGAATACACCGGGTCCAAGAGCACACCTGTGTCGCGAGCGACGCGCGAAATGTACGCGAGCTCGTCCTGCGTGCTGAGCGCATACCCGACACCCATTGCGTTCCTAGTCGAGTGTCTCGTCACATGCAAATAGCGTCCAAAGCGTACGTCATTTGGAGAAAGTCGCGCGAACCGAACGAGCCCGAGGCCAGACCCATGTGCGGCAGAATCTTGGTGTCGATGTAATCGTAAAAGTACGTCGGCGAGTCGCACACAATGTACGAATGCACTAGGCCCACCGTGCAGAAGAATAAGACAGAGCAAGCGTCGTACCAGGGGGCTTGGTGTGGAACTGCAGCGCGCTCGACGGGTGATGCTTGGCGTAGAGGAACGCGCCAGCACCAATACCGGCTGCGGACCCACCGCTCCCGCAGGCAAACGCCACGTCCGTCACGCCAAGTTTCAAGTGCTGCCGTGAATCAACGTTAGACAAGGCTATGCCATGAAGACGGATGTACCTGGATTTGGTGCTCCATCTCTTCAATACTTTCGATGTAGCCCCACGTCCCAACACCGTTGCTGCCACCGACAGGGATCCCGTACGGCTTGCGGCCCTGCGCGCGGAGGCGCTCGCAGGTTTTCTAATGCACACCAAGGTGAGTCGCGGCGAGAACGTGTAGAACGTGTACCTCGATGAAGTAATCACCACCACCGTGCTTCGCGTAGTCACTCCGCGACACCATGAGAAGCTCGGCACCCACAAGACTACACGATAGCAATGAGTGACTAAAGACGATGATCCGACGTCGCACCGGTCAATGAGCAGGTTACCGACGAGACCGGGGTCCGCCGTTGGGTCATCCGCGCGCAAGATGATCGTAGCGTCCAAGCCAAGCATGCGCGCAGCGACAGCAGTCGCGCGACAGTGGTTGCTTTGGATTCCGCCGCATGTGACGACACAGTCTGCGCCTTGTGCGAGCGCCTCCGCCAGCAAAAATTCAAGCTTTCGCGCCTTGTTGCCGGAGATCTCAAGGCCGCTGTAGTCCTAATGAGAAGCAACAATGAGAACAAGGGCTGGCGTTGAGATGCGTACATCGCGCTTGATATACATGGTGACGTCGGCGGGCAGTCCCGGCGGCCGGAAGGGGTAGATAGGCGTCGGAAAGTTGCCGAGAACGACGCGCTCCTTGGGCGCGTTCGCTAGCTCCGTCGCCCACGTAGGCGCCGTGTACGGTTCGCGTTCAAGGAAGGTCTTGTGCGCCATGGCGAATGAGTTGTGACAAGACGGGCGCAGGAGCCGATGGCGCAGCCCAGAACCGATCCTCATTTGCGCATATCCGGATTCGGTATCCATTTGAGATCTTCTGGCACTGCGTTTGCAAGTGATTTTTTGCCGTGGACGAGCATGGCGGCCAACGTGGCACGGTGCCGCTAACGGTAGATTGAGGATAGACGTGGGTTTGCGTGTGCAAGAGTTATATATGGATGCATATTGCAATTGCGTATGGACAGTTGTACCCGTGCACGTGCCGTGTGGTTTCTATCCGGATGTTATCCGAGAGAAATCAGATAGGTACGCTCGAACTTAAGGGTGCGGCCGTTGGAGCGCACTTGAACGAGACTTGTCGGTGGCCAGTCATTTGCTAATGCGTCTTGGCAACTGTCTCGTCATTAGCATTTTGACAGAGTACCAGCGCAGTCGCCGCTCTCCATGTAGTTTTATGTCTTCCTGTCAATCAACGGTCCGAACTCCTTCTCTTCCAAATGAAGACTGCTTCGAACATTTGGCAGGAAAAGCAATGCGGGCGAGGATTCTCGTCTGGGAAGTAGGCACATAGCGTAGCATTCCGTGCGGCGTTATGCTGGATTCCCCACACTACATCGTACTGTAGTTTGTAGAAGAAAGGGAATGATGCTTATCCTGAGGGACTGATCAATGTTGATGGATAAATTTAAGACCACTTTGCCGTGGCCTGACCCTTTTAAGTAGTCACACATTTGCAGGCAAATCTGCCACAGAGAATCGAACTCCCCCATTTCGATTTGCTGCTATTGTCTGCATATAGCAAGCGGTACCAAATGATAGGAACCCGTCGCGGTCACATGCGCGCTCGGAGTCGATTGATACTAACATTTGAAATTGATAAGCTCAGGAGAACTTCTAATCCATAATACGAAAACTATGCCATACACATCGACTGATAAGGATTACTGGTTTTGCACAGGAATGTTATGGAGGAATGCAGGGTTGCCAATACCGCCCAAATGAGCCCAAATGATACGGCTGTGAAGGAGCCACTCCCCCCGCCGGCCATGATTCATCGCAAAACCAAAAGCAAGATTCTGGCAAAGTGGGAAAATGCAGTTGCTGGAGAGCTTGAGTGGTGTGTCAAGTTGTCTCTCGATTGACTGAATGAACGGCGACGACGTTGAATTGTCTGAAACCGCTTGTGAGAACATACGATGGACCAGCCGATGCATGCCAGCATGGCCTTGGAGCTCATGTTGCTTGCGACCGTTGGTATCTCGTTGCGCCGCGACACAGCGGGCCACTCTCCGACGATCGCGAAGAGCACTCCCCCCGCCAATGCTGACGACGCGGTCGAGGATTTTCGCGAGTGCCAACGAGAGTTCGCAGCATTTGATGTGCGCCTCGCCAACGCCTCCAAGGCGACTGAGGCGCCACCGCCAGCGCAGGCCCCAGAGATTGTGCCCATCTTACTCACGGCGTCCGACTCTAAGGCGGCGCTCGACCCCAAAACACGACTGTCAACGTCCGAAAAAACAAACAAGTCGCGCCCTGTGACCGTCCAAGGAAGCGGTCGACGCGATGAGCGCGTGATGACACCGTCAAGCTCTGGGTCGCGTCTGCCGTCTCCGTCAAAAAAAGAAGCGGCGGCGGCGGCCGCTGCGGCAGCGGCGTTGGCCGAGGCAGCAGCAGCGCAAGCAGCAGCGGCCGCCGCTGCTGTGGCGAAAGAAGAAGAGGAAGAGGAGCTTGGGTACCTTCGATGCACGCTAAGCGACACGTACTCCGACTTGGAGGCGTGTTCACTTGACTGGTGCAACGAACTGTCGGAGATCTTGGCCGTGGGCCATGATCCGAGCAAGGTCGTCCGTGCTGTACGCACCCTACGCCTCACCAAACTTGGGATCGAGGCGATTGATGGTAACTTTGCCCGGCGACTCCAGTATCTGGAGCGCATCGACTTGAGCGACAACAACCTCTCTCTCCTCGAGCACCTGCCGGCGTCCATTCTCGAAGTCGACGCGTACAACAATGCGCTTTCGGACGTGCGTTTGGTCTGTCCACAGCTTGTACACCTGGGCTTGGGACTCAACGCTTTTGGCGTGTGTCCCGCCTTGCCAACCTCGTTGCTATCGCTGGACCTCTCCTTTAACAAGCTCGTCGCGCTCGACGTGCTCGTAAACGCGCTTCAAGACCTTCCGCATTTGCGCCACGTCTTTCTTGTCGGGAATCCCATCACTCTTTGTCGCGGGTACCGCCATGCGCTCCTTACGCAACTGCCGACGCTCGAGGTAGTGGATGATATTGCGATTCGGGACAAAGAGCGAGAGGCCACCAAGAACGTCGACTTGAGTGAGGAGCATTCGGTCGACCTCACGGCAGCCGTGACCGTGCTGGGTCTTCCAGAGCCAACCGACGCTGGCCCCAAGTTTGCTGTCACAGTCGAGATCGCATCGGGTTTGCTACACGAGACCCTTGCGGAAGTCGCAGTCAACGGCAACTGCCGCGGGTACGAGATGGCGCGGCGCTCTTTGGCTCCGTCCGTGGCACTGCGCGACTGCCTGAAGTGTACGCTCCGTTGCGTCTCCTGTGTGAGCAAAAGTGACATGATGTGCGAATGTAGTTCAAGGGCTCGTCGTGAAAGTTAGCGAAGTGCGACCAGGGCTGGGCAATGCAGCAGAAACCAAGACATCAAGTACGACACACCACAGTGTGTGCATCACATCATACTTTTCCATGCTAGTCCTGTGGCTTTCGATGATCGTCGACGTCGCGGCTTTCCTCAAGCCGGCATCGATTGAGCAGGCGCTGGGCGAGGTACGCAAGGGAAAACGTGAGCTTCGTCCGTGGCTTACGGCCGCGTAGATTAGCGTCGCCAAGGCTATCCAGATGAACGTTGTATCGCCCGACGTCGCTGGCGCCGGCGGTGACTATCAGCTGCATGTCAAGCTCACGCTCAATGAGCGCAAAACCAAATGATGCGGTGGTTTGTCCCAAAATTCACGTTTCACACCATGGTGCACGAGGGTTGAGTCAGCGTTTGACCAAGATGACGTTAACGTTTTTCACGTGAATAAACCACACCAACACGTTTTCCACAGGCTGGGCTTATTTGGCCGATTAAATATCTCCAGATGAAATACAAATTCAAAGAGTGAAAAATGTAATGAATATTAATACCTGTTGCTGGCTGGGCAATACACGATGGACCACCGACGGAAGCGAGAAGCCGACACGGACGAGCCGCCGCAGGTCGCGGGAAAACGGACCAAGCGGCAAGAGGCCAACGAGGAAAGTACCAAGGATGAAGAGGAAGGCGAGCCTATCGAGACCGACAAGCAGCTCCGGGCGCGGAACGCAGCGTTGCGGGAGGTCCTTGGCGAGAAGAACCGCCGGATCCAGTTTTTAGAGACCAAGTGCAGCGAGCTCTTCGTACACCGCCATATCGTCGACGCCCGCTCACGCTCAGTGCTGAGTCATTGGAGCTCCCTCTTGAGCACGCTGCACACGCTACTCCCAGGTACCAGTCCTTGCCTGGTGTTGCACTCATCGTCGACGTCTGGCAGATGCGTCGCACGACGCTCAGGCAGCGATCGAAGCGATTGGCACGATTGAAGTCAAGCTACCCGAAGATCTCTATTGCGAAATTGACGAGTGGTACCAGTCGGGCACTGAGCCATCGACCGCAGACGCGGCCGCAGACGCGGCCGCAGACGCGGCCGCAGACGCCGCTGTGAACTCTCATTTGCGCGGCGAGTGCGAATATATCAAGGGCTTCGTTAGTCGCCTCCTCGCGGAAACCGCGGCCGCAAGTGCCAAGGTCAACGAGGCGGAAGCTCTGGCACGGGCCATTGACGCCAAGACCAAGGCTGAGCGTCTGGCAGCGAGCATCAAGGAGCAACTTGCTGCGTACAAGCAGCAACTGCGTGAAGTCAAGTGCGACCTCGACCGTAAAGAATTGGAGCGTCACCAAGCCTGCCGTGAGATCGATCGCATGAAGAACGGGTCGCCGAAGGCCAGAGTCTCGCAGCCGCCGAGCGAGCTCAAGGTACTCGCCACTCCATTACATAGCGTGCAAACTGCAAAGTGCGTAGACGGACCCCGAAGCCGCGTCTGATAACCGTGCTACGGACACGGAGGCAACGCTCAAGAAACTTGGCAAGCTCGAGTCGGATCTTCGTCGCGCGATGGCGACGGAAGCGACGGTACGTGTCTTATTTATCATTTTTCCTGAAAAAGCTGCTTCGAATAGACCAAGAGTTCGATGTCCGCTCTCAAGACTCTCCACGACGAGCAGTTGACGCGCGCCATGAATGAACTTGCACACGTCAAGGACGAGTACATGCGCTTCAAGCTCAAGTGCAAGGTGCGTCCGGGCGGCTGTTCTTGGTCTCATGCAACCTACAGGACATGGACGCGCACATTCACGAAAAGTGGAAGAAGAAGCTCGTCAAGTACCAAGGCGACGCTCTCAGAACCAAGGCCAAACTGGACGACGCTATGCTGAAAAACGCGGAGCTCAAAGCCAAACTTGCAACATTTGCCTCGTACAAGGACCAGGTGTGTCGAGTCTGCGGCGCTCGAACTTGGTGTGACTCTGCACTAGATGGCCGAGTACAAGACACTTCTTTTGTCGTACGAGCGTCAAGTTGCGAGTCTTCACGCCCAGGTACGTACGTTGTGTGCCAAAACTTGCACCTCATCCAGTACCTTGCAGCTCCGAGGCTCGGAAAAGTACCGCCAATGTGTCGTTGAAGTCCAAGATGCGGCAACTTCCGCGACCGTTCGGCGCCTCGAAAGCCAGCTGGCTAATCTCCAGGCGTCCTATGATGCATTGCAAACCGACCTAACGTACGGCCGTACATCAAATGCTACGATACTGATCATGTACGCTAGATCGGGCGACGGGTTGGCCATGGTTTCTCGTGACCAGGCGACAAGAAAAGCTCTTGCCGAAACGGAGACCAAACTCGCTACTGCGGAGGTGGCGCGGGATGCCATCGCGCGCGAGCTCGAGCTGCGCAAGGACGTAAACCACGACGCCGAACTGAATGCCATCGTGCTCGAGGTTGACGCTGTGAACCGCGAGGCGGACGCAATGCGCGACCAGATGAAGAAGACGCTGCAAAAGCTCAACGAAAAGGAGACGGCTATTACCAAGCTACACCAAACCATTGCCAAGCTCGAGCAGGCAAACGCATTTAGCTTTGATGAGCTCGCTGGTGTCCGGCTCCAAGTTGCAGCGCTTCAGGGCCTCCAGAAGCAGCAAAAGACCCTTGAGCACGGGTTTGCGGTGTGCACGTTACACCGAGTGGAGTGATGCGACGACGTTTTCCGGTAGGACGTGATAAAAACCAAGGAAGACGAACTTCAGGGCCTCCACGCGCACGTGAATCGCGTGCTCGTCTTCAAGGACGACGCGGAGAAGGACAAGATGCGCGCACTCCGGGAGCTCGAGTTTACCAAGCACATGGCGGCGCAGCCCAAAGCTGAAAAGGTGACGCCATGCGAGAAGTGCGAGGCCAAGGCGAGTGCGCCGCTCGTCAAAGCGGCTGAGGTAGCAGTCAATTGGTTTAGCGTCGGAACGCCACACTGGAGACTAGGTCGACGCCGCACCGCTGAGCGAGCTGGAGCGCTTTGAGCTCGGGGATCTGCGCAAGAAGCTCAAGTGCTCCGTGTGCCAGGACGCGCTGAAAGACGTGATCATCTCCAAGTGCTCGCACATGTTTTGCAAGGACTGCATGGACGCCAACCTCAAGGCGCGCAACCGCAAGTGCCCGACGTGCAAAAAGATGTTTGGCCAAGACGACCTCAAGAGCGTCTGGTGGTCGTAGCCATTTATGTACGCATCGAACGGACTCTATAACGTCGAACTCTGTATTTTCGTTGCGTTGATTTATCCCACGAAAACGGCGAATCTTTCGAAGAACGGATGCCAGCCTTGCGCCGACACGACGTCGTGCACGAGCTCGTGCCAGGTCCCAACATCCTCGGGACATCGTCGTTCCACTGCAACGTGGTATCGACGTCGTCCGCCTCGCGCCATCAACAACGGTCAGAGTAGGTTCTGGATGGCGCCAACATTGGCGACCGACACGCGCTCGTCGAGTTGTCGCCGACAACGTCCGAGGTAGTCGTGGGTATATCGAGAGCGCACATTCCTACGCGCGTGTAGGCTGTCGTCTCGGGCATGGGCGTTGCCGCGGACGTCTTCGTCAACGGCCAGCGCATTGGCTCGCCGACCAAAGTCGTGCACGGCGACACGCTTGCATTTGGAACGCCCCATGACGCCTTCACGTGCGATCGGTTTCGATAAAGCAGTCCGCACGCCTTGTGTAGGTTTGACATCACGGTGACGTCGTCGGTGGCTGCGTCGACAGCATCGATGGGCGCGCCCACGTTTAGCAAGAGCACGCAAGGCAATCATTTCCACTCCCGCGTCCATCCGTCCTTCCGCAACCAAACGCTCATGGACGCCGCGTTGCGCAGCCTCGTCGAGCGCAAGCTCTTGGAACGCAAACGACTGGCAGCTGCAAGAGAGCACGAGGTAGGATGGACGACCCGCCAAACAACGATCACGAGATGCATTGGAGGTCAAGTTGCCGAGGACCCCGCATAGCGTGGCTCAACGACACCCACTACCGTAAGGGACTCGAGTGTTACGATCTAAAAGGTCCGTGACGTAGCCGCAACGACGTTGAAGACGAGGATGATGAGCTGCCCGAGACCTTGGAGAAGCCTGCAGCGGCACCCCGGGCTGCGGTCGTGTCGTCATACATAGCGAACAAGCCAGAAGACATTGCTGCGTGCGATGACGAAGACGACCTCCCTGAAATGGTGGACCGTGCAACGAGCCCTGGGGAGATGGCTCCACCCCCGCGAGCCACCCGCACGCCGTCCCAGCAAGCGGCAATCGATCAGCGCGTTCTCACTTACCGTCGACGCATCCTTGCGATCGGACTTCGAGCGTGGCGGGACGCCCTTCGTCGGCGCAAGCGCGTGCAAGAAGCGGCAAAGCGCCAGTACGCTGCCAAGAGACTGCAAGCTTGCTTTCGACGCTACCGCTGCCGCCGCCTACTCACGGACGCTTTGGAACTGCGCCGACGCCAGCGGTTTTGGAAACCGTCCATCTTGCGCCTCGGGTCCCTGTGGCGCAAGCCGCGACTACGAGCTGCGTTGCGTGCGTGGGCGGCGCATGTACATCGAGCGCTTCTCGATGCGCGTCAGCAGAGTATTGCGCGCCAGCACAAGAAGCAGCTTTTGCTGGTGCGCGCATGGAGATCTTGGACACAGCACACAATCCATTCGTTCCAGCGCCGGCAGTGGCTCCTCCGGTGCCTTCGACTATGCACTTTGGCGGCCGCTCGGCGAGCGGTTCAGACGTGGCGACAGCATCAGCTATTGCAAACGACGGCGCAGATGGAACAGAAGCTCCTTGATGAACAGGCGCGGGTCAAATCGCTTGTGCACGCCATTTCGGTGCAAACGCAGGCCGAGGCCAAGTGCGTGTCATTCGATATGCGTTATGAAACTGATCTCGTAGTGCATGGGCCGAGCAGGCCAAGGAGACAAACGACCTATTGCGCAAGGATTCCGAAGCCCAGGGCGAGCTCCAAGCACTTCGAGCTGCCCTCACCAAGGACGTCCATGCTGTCGGCAGCCAAACCGAAAACGCTGAAGTCGTGGTCTCGTGTGTCCAGACTGACGTATGTCCTTCGCCCCAATCGAAGGAAGCTCAAACCAACGAACCTGCACTAACAACCGAGCGGGAGACGCAGATCGACTGCGAGACGATCTCAGCACCGTTGCCTACAGCGCCGCTGACGACAATGATGACAACGACTGGCACGCAAACAGTTGTGACGTCATCTGCGAGAGTGCTCACAACAGCGGTGGGTGTCCAAGTGGGCCTACCGTCAAGTACAAATGCCGTGTTATCGGTCGAAAGCCAAACAGCAAGTTCCGAAACTTCGGCGCTCGATGAAGTGCAGACGCTGGTGCAGCGCGGGATCGACGCAGCAAATGCAGCGTAAATTGGGCTATCCCTTTTGGTTTGAACTCAACACCGAGATCTATCGTAGGCACGCTGCGGAGAAAATTGACCTCTGCTCGATCATCGAGAGGTTACAAATGGCAACGCAGGAGAAGGACGCTGTCAGCGCTGCTGCGTAGGCGCTCCCGACGCGACGTACAATACATCACCATCAAGCGTAGGCTGGCATCAGCCAAGGCGACGGCAGCTGCACGAGAGACTATGTTGTGCAACCGCATTGCAGCACTGGAATTGCGCCTTCCTAACGCCGCTGCATCCAAGTACGAAGCTCAACCAGACACTAATACTGACGAAATGCAGCACACTGGACGAGAAACGCGAAGCGATCGAGGAGGAAAAACAACGAGTTGTACTCAATGTGTCGCAGGCGCCAGTGCAACCCCACGCGACTATTACTGAACCCAAGGTGCATGATCCGGCACTCAGTGCGCTCCAGACCAAAGTCGACGCAGCCGATGCCAAAGCAACAGCCTTAACCTACCAACTCGCTGCGCTAACCACACGGGCTGTGGATGCCGAGGCGAAAGCAGTGTTCCTGTCGGCAGAACTGGCTGCAGCAGTGGCGCGCAGCGCAGACGTGGCAAAGTCTTCGCCCGAGGTTGTTCAAACTATCAAGTATCGAATGTCTTCTCTGGGTTTCATCTTCATGGCGAGGTTTCGTAGCGAGCGAGAAGTACACGCCAAGATGGTTGCGCATCTCGAAGCCCAGCTTGCGCATGCCGAAACCAAGATCAACGAGCTCAAGCGGGCTGCGGCAAACAGCGCGCAAACCCATGTACGCATAGAATGGAGCGACAAATTGATGTGCAACTGTTACGACTAGCGCCTCGCGTCCGAGCGTTTTGCCAGCAGCGTGGATGGCTTTTTGGAGCGCGTCCTGCACGACGTAATAGTCCTGAGTTCGGATCCATCGTCGCCCACTGTTTGAGTAGTATGATTCCCGGCTGATGCGGTGCTGCGCCGAGGTCGATGTGCTCCAGAGCCTCCAAGACACGCACGTAGCGCAGTTCCGCACCGCTTCCGTATGAGCCAAAATCCACATGAGGTGTTATGCGCTCCGTAGACTCTCGTGGGATACATGCAGGAGGAGCGACTGGCGCAATATGAGATGCTCTCATCACTCTACGACCACGTGCTCGCGACCAAAAAGGATTATGTTCGTCACGTTTGCAAATATCCCGCATTGCCGACGAATGTCTAGGTCATAACCCCAGCTTTGTGTCTTCTGGACATGTCCCCCAACGGCCAGTACCTACAGACTATGCTGCTCCAGGTGCGAATTGTCATTGAGGAGCTTTGTTTTTGACCCATGACCGAGCAGCGTTTTCAGCGGCTCCGCCAACTTCACGAGCACATGGCCGACCAAGCTGGTGACGACGAAAAGAAGCTCAAGTACGCCAAGGTACGGTGTGTGCTTCGTACCGGGCTTCCTCAAAAGGAAGCATTGGATAGCTTCTTGTGGCAGCGATGCATGCACGGCAGGTCGAGTTTGTAGAGACTTGCATCGGTTTATACGGCAACATTGCAACGTCCTGATGTGCCAATACTACATTTGTCGCTACTAATTCGTGTTCCTGTCAATGCGAGAATTCGTATGTAACGATTACATGTTGAGGTTAAGAGAACCACGCATCGCTGCACGCTTAGCATCGTCCTACCGACCTTGCTGAGGCACCGCGACGTATTCGGCTTCGACGCCTTGCACGCGTCTGCGCTGAAAGACCTTCGCCGTGAGGAATACGATGCCCACCGTCACTACGCCCGCTGCCACAATCGATGTCACCTTGGAGAAATGTGCCGCCTTCACGATGCTTAAGTGCTTCGCTTGCCCCTCCGCCCAACCGACTTCACCGACATCGTCATCGTGGTGATGGTGGTGTTGATGGTGGTGGTGGTGATGGTGGTGATGGTGGTGATGGTGGTGGTGGTGGTGGTGGCGACAATGATGGTGGCAGCGACCATGACGGGGACCGTGGCAAGTGGAGCCACCGTGGTACACATGCGTCGTCTCCGAGGCAATGTCCTCGTATGCTTCGTCCAGTTCGCCTTCGTTCGTGTCGTGAGAGTAATGACGGCGGTAGCGACCATGACAATGACGACCGTGGTGGGAGTACCACGTATCGATTTCATCGTCCATCCCGTCACCGTCATCTTCTGCATCATCACCGTCGTTGTACGGGCGACAATGACGGCACTTGCCAGCACAACGCGCAGTTTGATGGTCATGTCGACGGCCGTGGCGCTTGCAAGCGTGGTGTCCAAGATCAACCTCTTCATCATCTGCATCCTCGTCAAGGCTCATGTCGTCTGCATCGTCGTCGTCCGGCGTTGGGCGCTCGCCATGGGCACGGTGTTTGCGCCCGCAAAATCCCACGTCCTTGCAAATGGCCTTGGCGCACGTTTTGCCAGTCTCGAGCTCCTTGAGGATCGTGGGTACACTGCGCACAAACTTGTGACAGGCCTTGCGGTAGTGCGGGCAGTGAGGACAGAGCACCTGGACGCCGATCTTGACAGCCTTTTCGGGAAGCCCAGAAATGTGACGCGTTGCGTTGACGTACTTGACGCCGTAGTAGCAGTGGGTGCAGATGCTGCCGATACCCTTGGACATCTTTCGCGGCTTTTGGGGCTTCCGGCTCTTGCAGAGCGCGAGGCTACGGCACACATCGCCAACTCTGTGGCCCGCCGTCAGGTTTACGACGATCGAGGGCACTGCGTCCGTGATCGCCGCGCACGTCGTGTCGTTGCGCGCGTGCGAGAGCCATGAGCACGTCAAGTGCGTGCCCTTGGCGACTGTTCCGATCGTAATGTTTGGCAGCACATGCGTCTCTTTGATGTACCACACGCTCTTCCAGCAGAGGTGGCACTTGGCCCACTTGCAGTCGCGCTGCGCTGCTAGCTCGTCTTCCCAAGGCACATCGATCGTGCACGTGGGCTGCGCGAGTAACGCATGCTGGCTGCTGTCGCCACTCGAGACTGCGGCCGCTAGCGCGAGGCCAATAGCTGTCAGCACGTGCGTCAAGCCCATCGCGAAATGAACACTGGCGTCAAAGGCAATAAGATCCCGTTGATAAAATTGGCCAATCATGGGGCGCTGGTGAGTATCTTGCACCGGCCGTCGGACTGAGCAGGCGAGAACAATGCTATATATATATATGAACGTGTTCCGCGTTATCTTCATTATGACACTAAGACTTCGCATACGTAGCGCTACGCCTGAATGCGTGGGAGTTGGCTCAGCACTTGGTCGTTGGGAGTGAGCTGCGCACGGAGAGAACAATGCTATGGAAACAAAAACGATGGAAGTTGACTTCGCAGAACCAAGTTATTTCGCGCATAAGTGCCCCCGGAAAGGAGGGGTATGGTGCGTTCAGTAGGCCTGAGTGGAATCGCCGTCGAGCGAGGCTGGTAGTTGGAGACGTCTCATCCCTTCGAATCCAAAGCCTCGATTGACGCTGTGCACACCAACTCGTGCTATTCTGCTGGGTCTGGTCAGACCTTTCGTGTGTCTAGGCGCCAAGTCTACAAGAGCAACGTTGCTTTTCGAGACGGCTTCAACAAGGGTGAGACCAGTAGCCGTATGGCCACTATTTTAGCGAAAGGGAGTTTTTGAATGGTAAGATTGTAGGTGTTTATTTATGACGACGTAGTACACATGACTGTCCGGTCTGTCTCATCAAGAACTTCGTCGCAAACGATGTTTTTGGTGAACGGCCGTCGGCATTTCATTTTAGAGCCAAGATCCGGAAGTTTGCACATGCTTGGACCCGCGACATCGCACCGTAGAGCTGCCCG